TGTTTCTCCGTGAATGTCCAGCTTCTCTACTAATGTGGTTGATACTTGTTCGGGCAAGTCATTCCAGTCATTGACTAATCGATGAGGAAAACGGAATCCCATTTTGAATTGATGAGATCGCAATTTTCGAACCTTCTTTCTATGGCTTCGAAGATGATTAGTTCTAAGGGGAGCAAAAAGATATAACATATCAACACCCGAACCGCAATTAAAGATAAGAAATGTCAGTATATGGTCACTTTGCGTCCTACGATACGACACATGGAAGAGATTTGGGCGCTTCAAACGCTCATCGTAAGAGAGTTTAGAAAAACCCTTCACTAAATTCGTTCACACATGCTCAGGTGTGTTAGGTTCCTAGACGGACTATGGACTGGCCACTTGGACAATGTACAACGTGTGATCTTACACAGGTGAGATACGGAATCCGAAAAACCTTATCAAAGCATTTGAGTGCTCGGTGAAGTGACCATAACGCTCTAAAACCTCTGACGGCTACTACGTTGCTTTTAAACTCCACCTGGAACCCCTCTGAAGCTACTGCCGGTCCCAAGCCTGGATAAAGGAGGAGGGTTGGGCATGGGGTTAGCGAACCCATCCAGTAGAAAATTAACTCGCTAAAAAACGCGTTGCTTTTATGTTGTGACTTATTGTTATTCCCAAGTATGTGCTCCTGTATGTGTGGGAGAAATGTACCGTCGGTAATGTGCCGGCAATTTACAGTGTCCAACGTGAATTGGCACACATTGGGACCATCTAACTAATTCGTCGAGGTCAGCTGGGAGATCAAGACGACCAGCCTCACCACTCATTGTTCCCCAACTTTTGGCATCATCCGCAAACAATAATATTGATGGCTTAAGCAATGGCGGTAAGTCATTAACGTGGGGAAGGAAAGGTAGGGAGCCTGAGATGATGAATTGGAGTCCATCACATTTTACTGGCTTCCATTCGGATAGCATTCCATCGACCCTCACTCTTTGCTTGCGGTCACATAAGAAGTTTCCTATCCATTCATGTACAGCACCTGTTACTCTGGAGCGCGAGAGCTTCTTCAAAATACCTAAATATGAAACCTTGTCAAACCCTTTGCTAAAGTCTCTGAATATCACACCAACAGACAGACCGTTATCTAGAGCGACTGTCCAATCCTCACTCGTAATAAGTTATTCAAGCATGAATGTTTGTTGTGAAATCCATGTTACTGGAGAGTTAAGAGATTGTACGAATCTATGTGACTTAGTAACTTAGCCCGAATTATCTTTTCAAGTAGCTTAACGACTATGCTGGTTATACTGACAGGTCGGTAGTTAGGCACATTATGTCTCTGACCATCCTTAAGTATAGAACTGACTATAGCGTCTTTTCAATCCCTAGAGAGTTAAACGAGTGAAAGGGAAATGTTGAAAAGCGTCGCAAGCGGTCTTGCAATAATGTCCACAAGAGGTGGCAGCAGTCATGGGTATAACCCACCAGTGCTTGATATCTTAAAAGGTTTAACGTTAGTTGTCAGTTGAAGAAAAATTCCGTCAGTCACATGTAAAGATCCTATGGCTGGTATCTCGATGTGATTGGGACAAGTATTTGTAACAATATACTAGAGTAGAGTTGGCTAAAATAGTTTGAGAAAGTCTTGACTTTTTCCAGATCTGATTCAGCTAGTGAATCTGAATTCTCTTGTATCATTAACGGGGAAATACCATCACAGCGTTTTGTTCGCCGTTTAACGTACGAAAACAATCGTTTCGGACAAGTGAGCTTGGCATGAGTTGCGACCTTGGAGGATGCTGGAAATGCGCTAAGGTATAGGGATAGATCTGAGGGGTGGTTCCCTGTCTTCACGTTGTGGACCGTCAAAAGTCTAAGTTCACTTTGGATAATTTTGGCAAGTTGCTTTTTTGTTCCGAAACGTAGTGAAATGGGTTTTTTCGTTTGCGATATGTGGTACCTTAAAGAATTCGATAACACATAATTCAGGCGCTGCTCGGATAGTTTCCCCACAATAGCATATACGGCAGGCACTGATTTTTGCTTAGCAACACACTATGAGTAGACTTATGATTTATTTTTATATGGAACAACCTGAATATGCGTCAGTGAGGATCTCATCCTAGTTGATCGTCTTAAGAGACGAGCTGCAGAAGTAGAAATAAGTGAGCGTCGCCAAAACGGTAAAAGAAACCTCGTTCTTAAGGGTTTTCAAATCGCAAAAGTTTGGAGCAAAACGATCCCCAAACCACTCTGTGTGACAAGGGAAGGTTCTCCACAGACTTAAAGGTATGCTACGCAAACTGCGTTCAGGCTGCAATCTCCTGTTAACAAGGTGACTCGGATATCCTGTAAAATGTACAGAGGGTAGCTACCCATGCAATTCCAGAACTCAGGGGTTTACCACACCAAGAGCGGCTGGAAAGGCTGGACCTCTTTACTCTGTCCTATCGCAGACTATGGGGAAATCTAATTTCGATGTGCGGAACACTGAGAATAGATTTTGGACCTAACATATTCTCTCCTTTTCTTCCCACTAGATCGTGACATCACAGAGGACATAGCAGGCGAGTAGAAAAGCCAATAACGAACAAAAGTGCATACAGGTTTTCACACTGAGTTATCAATACTTGGAATCTGTTTCCCGAAGCAGTGGTGTCCGCACCTTCAATTAACTCATTCAAGAATAGACTGGACACTCATTTCGGAATACTAGAAAGGGAATAACATAGGCCGTAAGCCTTCTGTCCTTACTACACAAATCTGAATACAGCATATATCGTCAAGGTGATGATGAGCGGGTTTTGATGAGGTACATCAACTATGTTTATCATATCAAAAGTTTACTTGGTCAGCTTTAGCTGGGATTATTTTGGTTAAGGTTTGGAGCTTTGTCAAATCCGTTTTGTGGTACTCTTCGTTTTGTTGATTATAGCCCTGGTGATTATCATGTAAACTTTGTTGATTTCTTCCACTTTATATCAGATCTGACCAAGACTAAGACTTCATCAAACTATCTTGGTGAAGTCTACTCTGCAGGCGTTGTTAATAATATATCTCGGTGAGACTATAATTTACGGACAACCTTTGGGTGAAGATAAAGTGACCTTGAGAATGTCCACCTACCTACTAGGGCTAAATAGGGATTCTAAATCAGTTTGAAGAATAAGGATTATGATTTACAGTTGATGGTTAGGGTCAAGATTTAGATTTAGGGTTTTTATCACAAACCGACATCAGCTATAATGCCAAATCTCTATTTAGCCAAACGGGTGAATGAATTTAGCGCCAAAATCTAAGACCTGTTGTCGCAAATCCGACTGTTTCGTCCATAAATCATAGTCCCACCTGGCCCAATCTCCCAATTTAGGGGAAGTCGCTATAAAAATTTTGGAATAATCATAGAAGTCCTGTTACCTAGTGTACTTTCAGACAGATCTCGAAATTATCCAAACTAGTAAATCGTCACGATAGCATATGTCACTGAAGATTTGTCCTATATCATGCATCATTATGATGGCATCAATTTATTATTCGAAGGATGAGGCTATCAGATGTAGTATGGCCTAAGTCAAATCAAATTTAAAATTGTCTTGATTTGACCGCACCAATCGTTTTGCGACGGTTTGACCTCCAAGTGCTCAGCAACCTTGGATGAATCGTTGTATGACCAAATCGATGTAAGTTTTACGTAGTAATGAACTTCAGTTCTTTGGTGCTATAAAAATCTGTCAATAATAAATTTATAGGTAGATATTATAAGAAATAACCATATAATTGTGTTTAATATCAACATTATGTATTATTACTTATATACGGGCTTGCTGTCCCCAATCACCCTGTTTCGTAGGAAATGTTATCAGTTTTGAGGAAATTTTGGGTGATTCGCAATCGAAAATCCTGGGGAAATGCGACAAAAACCCTCAAAATTCTTCCTGGCCAGAGGTTTTTCCTAAAGATTTAAAGTTATTCGGGGAAATCTTCCAAGCTCCCAATTTTGGGGAAAATTTGATCCATTTTGGGGAAGCCACTATAGTGAACTTTGGGGAAATGGCACCAAAATTTCATTACACTTTAAGGAAATCGGCTTATACTTATTAGTAAAACCCCAAAAATTTTCACAATTCATTGGAAATTCCCGGATTTTCTTCCAAATTGTTGTTTTACTGTGGGACTTATATAGCTTGTAACCCAGAACATCAACTCTGGGATGCAAGTACATCCAGCTGACGAGTCCCAAATAGGACGAAACGCGCGTCCTGGGTTCCATTGCTAGCCACTATCCATCTTTGCTTTAATAGGCCCCCAAATGCCCTGGTACGGCCGAGAGTGGGGAGAGTCCGCTCTCCCTCTCGAAATGCTCTCACATGGCCACGTGTATATAGCCTCTACCAGGGAAGTCCTACTCACTGCCTTCTCGCACCACGGGCGTTGTTTACGAAAATGAGAGGACGAAAAGCGAACGTCCGGAGCTTTAACCGGATCCCAAATCAATGGTGCACATGGGCTCCAGGATCCTGAAGGAACAAATGGCGTATGAACCAATTATTGGTCACTGGCTACCATGGGACTGCATCTCCTTACGATGCTCCACTGCCTTGTGGGTCAGAGCTTCAGGTCGAAGGCTCGGGATGTGGTCCCCTAAGAAAACCACCTGTTTCGGTTTGGGCACCCGGGCAGTATCACAGCCCTCACACAAATTAAATGAGATTTGTGTGGCGCATATGTATTCGGTGCCTCCTTGTACCAATATCTGTGTGTGAAAATAAAAGAATAAAATATTTGCTTTAATAGACTACTTTCGTTGATAAAATTGTGAATGTTGTTTTCTTCTCAAATCTACCTTCCAACATTATTTGGTTTAATTTAAATTGAATCCAATTGTCAGTCGATAGTTTAATAATCTACAAAACGAGTAATTTCTCATTTTTTTGTAGTTTGACACATTCAGTTACTCATTTTAATGTAACTATTATTCTACTTGTAGGGATTCTTTTCCTACTGACCAATGTATGTATCTTGCTGCTGTACAAAACTCTTCAGTCTATTTTTGGTCCGTGCTGCATGATAAGAATGCGTTTAAATCGTCATCGTCAAATACAGACATCCATAACTTGGAGATTCCTGATTCTCCTTCCTTGACTTACAAGCCTCAAATGACAGTGACGTGTTCGCTACGGTCGATTCAGTGGGATCCCCGGTCTTGTAAACTAGCTGTTATTGACAATTCTGGTTCCGCTATTTTCTTTCGACGTTTGTATACTGGCAAAAATCATGTATACGATCAAAATACATCAGATATAACTACTTTCAGTTTGCTATCACATAATTTCACAGCAACTTGTATAGCTTTTCCGCAAAGATCAGGAAGATATCTAGCTGTTGGGACTAGTGCTGGCCCAATAAATTTATACAAATGCCAAAAACAAATTTCTTTTCGTTCGCAGTTACGCTACAGTAATATTAATTTTGAAAGTTCATCTTCCAACGAAGTGCAGCCTAGATGTGTCAGCTGGATCTTAAATGACCGTGTTGTTGCTGCTGGATATAGTAATGGTTCTATTGTCTTATTCTTAGCTGCGTCTAGTACACCTACAGGTGAATGTGAGAATTTCATATTACCATTTCCTTCACATCCCAATGACAATAGTCTTTCTACACCTGCATGTAATATTCTTAAAACTTCCAGACTAGACAATACCTTATTATGTTGTGGTTATTCTGATGGATCTATTATTTTATGGAATTTACACTGGCCTATTATTGGGCATACACACGAGTTAATTTTGAATCACTGGGATCCTAAAGCTTTTCTATCCACTTCGATAAAAATGAATAACTGTGAATACTGTGTAGATATAGCTTTGTCATCTGATCGACTACTTTTTAGTGCAGGAGCACCGGATATGAATTTACGTATGTGGAATACGTCTCCATCTTGCTTAAAACCAATAAAAACTTTGTCACCGATTAATGAACAACATGGATATTTAAGTGTTGATATTGCCTCAAACACAACCATTCTTGCAACTGGCTTAGCAAATGGTAATATTTGGTTTTATAATATACTTGATTTTACTTCACCTATCCGTTGTGTTTCCTCAGGATTGGATATTCCAATATATTTGCTTTCATTCTCTTTTATTTATCGGACTAGTGATGAAATTAGGTTTAGCTCCCCAAAATCTAATTGGCCTGAAAATTTACAGGATGAGAATCTTGATACAAAATCATATGGAAATTCAACTTCAGTACAAAATACTGTAACAGATACACTACTGATTTCATCAAAACAACCATTTCATGAAGTAACTAATGTTATAACTAAATATCAACCTGATACATGGGTATCATTATTTCGTGAATTTTCTGTACCAGATATTTCATTACATTCAAATTCCAGTATAATTCCATCATCTGATCAAAGTTCTATAAAATCTAATTGGTCAGAAGGGCATATTGATAATGTAGAAAAAACTGTATCATTAAAACCAGAATCTAATATAGATGTTAATATAAATAATGATAATATAAATAATAATTCATTTAATATAACAAATGAATGGTTAGATCAATATTTCAATGTTAAACTTCAATCTATGATGTCTGAATTAAATTGGTCTCATAATGAATTATTATTTAAATTTACTAAATTAGAATGGAAATTTGATCAAATGTGTAAAGAGTTTCATAATGTTATTATACAAATGAAACATGAAAATAATTTACTTCGACATACATTAAGTCAATATTCACAATTATAAGAAAATACTGTATATTTATAGTATTATTATTATTTGTAAATTACATAATCATCTTAATGATTAGGATATATTCTTGTAATCTATTCATTGTATATGATTATGGTGTAGGTTACAAAAGTAAGTGTGTTAACTCTAAAGTTTTCGATTATATTTCGTTAATTCTGGTGTTATTAATTATTGATTCAGTTAGTAACAATATAGAACTTCGTACATACGTACGTACATACATCAGTTCGAGTTATCATATCACATTAGCACACAGATACAATTGTCGATTCAAATCTCATAGTGATAGAGGTAGTAAGAGTATAAGCACTAACTATTGATTTAGGAAATATGGAACAGAGAATAAATCATTGAACTCTTTATCTGTATGAGCTTTTCTTTTTACAATTAATTCATAACAATATAAGTTTCTGTAAAACATTATTTACATCATTTAATAACAATGGACAGAATATGTACTATATTTCTCTAGAAAAAATTATAGATTGTATCCCAAATGCCCTGGTACGACTGAGAGTGGGGAGAGTCCACTCTCTCTCTCGAAATGCTCTCACATGACCACGCGTATATAGCCTCTGTCAGAGAAGGCCTACTCAATTCCTTCTCGTGGCGGGGGTGCTGTTTACGAGATTGAGAGAACGAAAAGCGAATGTCCGCCGCTTTAACCGGGTTGGTAGAAACGGAGAACTACCTAGAGGAGTTGGAAAACCCTGACTCCAAACAAATAGTGTACATGGGCTGCAGTACCCTGCAAGAACAAATAGTGTACGAACCAATTATCGATCACCGGCCATCATGGGACTGCATATCCTGACGTTCCTCCACTGCCTTGTGGATCGGACCTTTAAATGAAAGGCTCCAGGTGTGGCCGCCTAAGGTAACCATCTGCTCCGGTTTGGGCACCCGGGCAGTATCTCAGCCCTCACACAAATCAAATGAGATTTGTGTGGCGCATATGTATCTGGTGCCCTCTTGTACGAATATCTATGTGTTCAAATAAATAAATAATTAAGTCACAAACTATAAAATCGTAATTATTTACATTTTAAGAGTCATTGAAGATCTTTTGGTAATATCATTCCTAGACCATACTGCTATAGTATTATTCGGAAGTAGTGAAGTATCCAATATATGATGGGTATGGCTAACAATTCTTCTTTTGGTTGTTGTTTTATATCTTCATTTCTTTTAAATAAGCATTAAATTTCTGGATTATGGCGAATGCATCATAGATTTGCAGATATAACCTACTTCGGTTTGAGCGCCTGGGCACTATTCCAGCCCTCACACAAATCGAATGATTTGTGTAGCGCATATATATTTGGTGCCATATTGCACCAATGTGTATTTAGATAAATAAACGCTGTTCCAAGCTTGAAAACTTAAATACGATACTTAATCATTATGTTGGCAGGACCCCAATGTTTACTGTGCAGGAAGGTAACTTACCACTTATTTGAGTAACCACAATTGACGGATCAGAAAACGAAAAAAATGATATTGTAACTCTTACAGGATGCAATATATATCTTGGGCAATCTAATGATAATATTGACGCAGATTAGCATTAGATTGACTGGGATACATGTATGCATTAGCCAAATGTACGAACTGAAGTTTGCAAAGCGGAATTTGAATCTACAGACCTGCAACTAAAAGTCGAGTGCCCCAAACACTTACCTATCACTGTTTCACTGGGATGTGGAATAGCGACTGCATGTCTAGATTTCGGCCACTAAGATAAGCGATCAGATATCATGGTGAACCGAAACTGATACGCGAGGCAAGTAAAAAGAGATCATATCGATTCTTAGTAAACGAAAATTTATTTGAACATCTGAAGCTTCATGTAATTCATTTAGAAAACAAGAGACAACCTGTTGGTTGTAACTGAATCAGTTAACTTATCTAGAACTTTAATTGCATAATTATTTGATAAATTAGATAATACATGAGTTGCCACCTAATGGTCAATTAAAGGATGTACCTCATGCCGATTTTTCATGAATGTTAGCAACTATAAAACACAAACCTAGCGCTTTTGTAGCGTGCGGTGTTTGATTGTGATACTGATACGCAGTCTTCCTAAGAATGGTCTCAACTGACTGCTCGAATCAAAAGACGGAATGAGAAAAGTAGTTTATTGACGAAGCGAATCGACTGCATGTGCACTCATATATATATCCTTAAAAAATTAGGCTACTGATGTATGTTTCACTTCTTATAAATGAAACCTGTTTATAGGCCATTCACGCGCACTTAATTATTTCTTTAAATACAAACATTGGTACAAGGAGGCACCAAATAAACCAATCGATTTCTATGAGGCCTTGAATACTGTCCGGGTGCCCAAACCGGAACAGCTGGTTATCTTAGGGGGCCACACCCGGGGCCTTCGACCTAAAGGTCTAATCCACGAGACAGTGGAGCAACGTAAGGACATACAGTCCCATGGTAGACGGTGACCAAGGGTTGGTTCATACGCCATTTGTTCCTTCAGGATACTGAACCCTATGTGAACCATTGGTTTGGAATCATTGTTTTCCAATTCCCCTAGGTGGACTCTCCGTTTCCACCAACCCGGTTAAAGCGTCGGACATTCGCTTTCCATTCTCTCAATTTCGTAAACAACAGTTAGTGTGTAGGACTTCCCTGATAGTGATTGTATGCGCGTGGCCATGTGAGAGCATTTCTAGAGAGAGCTGACTCTTCCCACTCTCAGCCGTACTAGGGCATTGGGGGGGAGCAATCACGCGCATTTATCATTTGGCCAATTTCTGCCTGGTCCAACGTACCATCTTTCAATCTTAACAAATCAGAATAGGTTCTCAGATTTAGCTGATGTTAAGATGGGAGCATATCCTCCTCATCCTGTTGAATTTTTCTAACTATTTATTACCAAGTATATGTATATATTTAAAGAAGATAATTGAATTCGTTCAATATATCACTTTATTGCTGTATACAAATGAGTTAATATACAGTATTAGAGGAAAGTGATATGCTTCTAGAAAAATAATGTTTATCATCTTTAAAAAGAAAGAAAGAAAGTATAAATATAAAATATTAAATTATTTTATAGTCAGATTCTGGTAGACAGATTCGCTTTTTAATACTTTGCCAAATCCATGATGCAGATAATTGAAAACAATTCTGAAAGTAAAGAAGTAAACAACCATTTAATAAATGCCTAGTATTAAGAACGGAATAGTGATTAATCTTTTTATAATTCCAGTTGAATGTTAGTCATATATGGGCTGTAGATTTATAGAATAATGCGAAGTAACAGATATACAATAGAAAATCTAACACGTTACTTACTTATATATAAAATAGGTATGAGTCTAAGTCAGTCAGTAACAACGTAGAACTTCGTACGTACGCACGTACATCAGTTTGAGTTGCCATACCACATTAGCTCAGAGATGCAATTGTCGATTCAAATCCCGTAGTGGTAGAGGTAGTAAGAGTATAAACAGTAATCGGAAAGATTAGGGTTTGAAAATGTTCTTCAAGGAGTATAATCCAGTGAAATAAATTTGGAAAGAGAGACAAGGAGAATTTAGGAGAACACAAAGAGTAGATGCACCTGCGCCATTGCAAACGATTTTGAGTCATGTCATTCAAGGTCTCTAACCATCGGTTGCTATCGTCTCGCGGTCCCCAACCAGGTAGTCTAAACCTGTCAACATGGCTCAGTCCACCTGTTAGCAACTTCATGGATTTGTGTCGTATTGTGGTCTGGCCACCCTTAGCTTTCTTCCAACCTACTCTTACACCATGAAACATCGCACGTCGGGGCAATCGGTGGTTGGGAATACGTAACACGTGTCTAAGCCATCTCAACTGATAAAGCTTTACTACTTCATCAATTGATTTGCCATCCTTACCTGGTACCCGTTTTCTAACAACCGTATTCTTACTCGGTGGTCCCAGGATATACGAGCAATGTTTCGAAGACACCTATGGGTGTCGATGCAACCCAATCCTGAAGCAACATTTTGCATTTCGAGGGGGAGAATCGCATCCCGAACATGCTTGCATTGTTGCTTACGGTGGTTAGAAGACTCTGCATTTTGTCAGCGTCTTCACCAAACAGAACTATGTCATCAGCATACTCTAAGTCAACAAGTGAATCTTTCGGTAGAAGTTCAACCCCTGGGAAGTCAGATGTGGAAAGTGTTATTTTTAAAAGCACGTCAACGACAAAGTTAAACAAGAATAGAGAGAGTGGATAGCCCTGAGGTAATCAATTCTGAGTGAGTTCAAGTACAGTATGTGTAACCTGTTTGGTAAATAATGTGGATTGAAATCTAGAAGGATTTATATTACAAAATTTGATGTGTATGTGAGTGTAGACCGTATTTCATCTCTAATCTCGTTATAAGCATCCTTCAAAGTTGTCAGGATTCAGATGAGATATCGTACTGGTAGAACAAGTGTTCATCACCAGTGGTGACTCTTAAGGAAACCGAGGAACTAAGTAGGATTATTTTATTCTATACAGTATGTCTTTTTTAACTTTTGGTCAAAAGTCGACAACATTTGATGATGTTTATACATATCTTCCATAATTTTAAATGTTTTGCTAGAATTCACTTTATCAATAATCAGCAAATTATAAAAAAGATCAGAAAGCCCCACCGACCACATTTCTGATAGTTGACCATAACTGGTAACCTTAATTATGAAGTTAATGTATTTATTAGACAGATTATCCATGTAAAACTCTCGGTTATGAATTCATTTAAACACATAAACATTGGTACAAGGAGGCACTAAATAGATATGCACCACATAAATCATTTGATTTGTGTAAGGGCTAAGATAATGACAGGGTGCCCAAACCGGAGTAAGTGATTTTCTTAGGGGGACCACACCCGAGGCCTTCAACCTATAAAGGTCTGATCCACAACGCAGTGAAGCAACGTCAAGAGATGCAGTCCCATGATAGCCATGTGAGAGCATTTCGAGAGGGAGAGCTGACTCTCCCC